TATATATATATATTTAACTTTAAATGTTGAATGTCATTTCTTGAAGTGGGTAGGAGGTCTTAAATACAGGCTTACAGCACAATGGGAGGACCTCGGAGGGCAGAAGTTCGCTACTGATGTTTTACAATCTTGCATGTAAGCTGTTAATGCCCATTATTCAGGATACACAGACAAGGAACTTCCCTTAAGCATTCAGGAGGGTGGAACCTGGCAGGGAATGAGCATAGGGAGGATATCAAGGTCAAGGTCCACAAGCAAGGCAACAGTTACCCAAAACGGGGGCCAGGGACCTGTAGGTCCCCCTTTTATTAAAAAATGAGCTTCTGACTTGGGTTGCGTGGGATGTCAGCAGGTCACCTTACCCATCATGGAGACGACTGCCCAGGCCACACAGGCGCTCTGTCTTAGGTTGGTGAGTGCCCCCCAGGCATTTCCCGTCTCTGAATACTCATTATCATACTGGCTCAATTGTGTGTGAGCTGCATAGTTAATTGCTGCCAAAGATCTCAAAGTGGCACTGGGCTTGCAATCTGTGTGTTTGATACAGAAAAGACGAACAGAGGTCCTATCTCATCCATAGCCAGTAGGCTAAAGGCAACTGAGCCATTCCCTTCCTTAACGAGCCATACTGTATGTTGGAGTCCTTGTAAGAGAGTATCCCCAAAGCAACTGGAATTTGAGTTTATAAATTTATAATTTTCAAAGCCAATCAAGATGCATATAACTACTGAATTAAATTTATCATGCCCAATAGAATGAAAGATTAACTAACTGTGGTAGCTACTTTTGTTGCCAGGGTCTCCACTGTGCTAGCTGTAGTAAGCAAATATGAAATGGTAGTCCCAGAAACAGTAGCAGCAGTGTGCGCCATTGTTATACCAGCAACAGCGGCAGCAGCAATGTCAGATTCTCTTCTGGATTGTGTGGACATCCACTGGCATGGATACAACTCCAGTAACACGAACCGCCAAGGCCCATTTTTGTTGATCCCAGCATGACTTTAGCTGGCAGCTCTTCTGGAGAATCCAATCTCATGGCTACAGTTCCTAGGCTTACATTAATGCTTGCCAAAGCTGTTCATATTGGTCTCTCAATCTCCATTGGCATCAGAAGGGTAGATTTTTTTCATGAAGACCCATTAGGTCTCTGTCATGTTAGGCTTCAGCAGCAGCCACAGGGCACGTTCAGTGCTCAGGAATCCAAAGAGGAACCTCATTGTCCTGAGGAAAGACATAAACAAAAATCCGGGGCCACACCAACACTAAATTGGGTCTCCTCCACGTGCTAGTAGAAAGATCTTTCCATTGCTCCAGAGGGTGATTTGCAACAGGAGCCCTCCAGTGCTTATCTGCATTGGATCCTCTAGCAGAATCCACTGATAAACAACAGCAGAATCCGCTGATAAACTCCAGCAGAATCCACCGATAAAAAAATTTAAAATATATAAAACAAGGGAAAGAATAGAATGTGGAGAGGAATGATGAGTCCCTCATTCTCCCTTTTTTTTTACTTTAGTAAAATGTTTGTTTGTTTGTTTAATATTTCAAAATTTTCTTTTATTTTTATTTATTTTTTATTGTTTAAAATTAATTAATTTATTCATTTTTCTATTATCAGCTTGATAGAGTATGTATTCTTAATAGTGAGATGTTTCATTGAGGCTTGCTCAGTAATTGAGTAAAACCAAAATTTATTATAAGCCACAGTCGTCCTAGGGACCTCCATGCTATATATATAGCCTCCACGGTTCTGTGGGTTGTAGTCTGATTGTTCTTTATTTTATATCTAGAATCCAGTTATGAGTGAGCACATACTATGACTGTCTTTCTGGGTTTGGGTTACCTCACTCAGGAGGATTTTTTCTAGTTCCATCCATTTGCCTACAAATTTCATGCTTTCATTGTTTTTCTCTGCTGAGTAGTACTCCATTGTGTATATGTACCACATTTTTTTTCATCCATTCTTCAGTTGACAGGCATCTAGGTTGTTTCCAGGTTCTGGCTATTACAAATAGTGCTGCTATGAACATAGCTGAGCATGTATCTTTATGGAATGAACCAGCATTTTTTGGGTATATGCCCAAGAGTGGGATGGCTGGGTCCTGAGGTAGTTCGATTCCTAATTTTCTGAGAAACCGCAATACTGATTTCCACAGTGGTTGTACAAGTTTACATTCCCACCAACAGTGGAGGAGTGTTCCCTTTGCTCCACATCCTCTCCAACATTGACTGTCATTGGTGTTTTTG